TTTTTTTTTATTTTTTTTTTTTTTTTTTTTTTTTTTTTTTTTTTTTTTTTTTTGCTTATTCTTCCAGCCAACTCCCTTCAGATCTGATGTTAGGGCTGAGCTCTGTTCACTTCAAGAGAGAAGTGGACTTTCTTGGGATATATTGAGTGTTGTGTTACTCCAGGCTCTCAAGGAAAAAGTCAAACTGGGGATCCACGAGTTTTCAGTACTCCCAGAACTGATCGCTGCCCCGTCCTGGTTTGAGCTCTGCAAGCTCCTGACGTAGACGGCTGATGGACTCAGCTCTTATCAGCCACTGGGAAGCTCTGTTGGTTAAGAGTAACAGAACTGCAGGTTCCGCTTTGGTCCAGGCTTTCTGCCCTGGTTATTCTGCAGGCTTCAGGCTGGGATAGATGTTGGCATTGAGGCCCTGCTTTGCTTTCTGGGGTCTGAACCACACAGGTGCTACTTGCTTCTAAACTTGTTGGTGTACAACCTTGGGCCTCCAACTACTCCTTTAGCTTAAAAGGGATAAGGTCTCCCACTACATCCTGGGCCATCTCCAGTCATCCTGATTGATATCTGGTCATTGAACCCAGATGGCTCTGGAGGAGAAAGTGAGGCATAGGTACTCTCCTCAGTCTGCCCTGGATCTATGACCCAGAATTGGGTAGTAACAAAGCTGCCAGTTGACACCTGTTCCCAAACCCTGTAGTACTCTGGTGTGGATCCCAGATACACATCTTCTCCCTGTGCTGCAGTGCTCCCAATGATACTATCCTGATCAGACCCCTTCCTCTATGTCCACAGACCTTTTTTGTCTGTTTCCCTATGCCGACCTAGACTAGAACAGTGATTCACTGTGATTTTTTTTTCTTGGATTTCACCATCAGGCTTTGGTCTGGTGCTTTTTCTAGATCTTTTTGGAAGAGATGGAGGAAGAGGGAGCATACTGTCCTTCTTCCTGCTGTTCTGACATGTTGGTTCTACCCTCCCCAAATTGATTCCCAGAATGGCTGTGCCCTTCACAGCTCTACTAACAGGATATCAATGTGCCTGTTTTCCCACAGTCCCTCCAATACTTGTTTTTTATCTCTTTTTGTCAGTTTTGTCAATCTGAGGAGTTGCTTTAATTTGCATTTCTTTAATTATTAGTGATCTGGAGATTTTTTATATGGCTATCAATAGCTTGGATTCTTCCCTTGAGGACTACTTACTTGTTCATAGCCTTTTACCTTTTATCAATTGAGGATTGACTTTTATTCTTATAAATTTAAATCAATGGCTTATAGCTTGGAAATAAGACCTTTTTCAAAGAAAGTTGCTGCAAAGATTTTTCCTCCAGTTAACTGTTTCCTTCTTATCTAATAAACTATATTGGATTTGTTCAAAAACCCTTTTAATTTTATGTAATCAAAATTGTCCATTTTATCTTCTGTCATCCTGTCCATTCCTTTACTTGGTCACAAACTCTTCCCCTATTCCATAGATCTGAAAGGTAACGTCTTCTTTATTCCTGTAATTTGTTTATGATGTGACCTCTTACCTAGGCCAGTCATCCATTTGGAGCTTATCTTGGTTTTAAGGTGTGAGGTGTTGATCTAAACCCAGTCTGCTGTCCAGTTTTCTTTTTCTTTTCTTTTTTTTTTTTTTTTTGGTGTTTTTTTTTTCTTTTTGAAAAATGGTATTTGTTTTTAGCATTTTTTTTTTAAATTTTGAGTTCTGAATTCTCTCCCTTCCTCCAGTCCCTCCTCTACTCATTGAGAAGGCAAGCAATATGATAGCCATTATCCACATGAAATGATGCAAATGCTACCCAGTTTTCCCAACCATTTTTGCCAGACAGTGAGCTCTCATCTCAGTAGCAGGGTCTTTGGGTTTATTGAACCCTAAGCTACTGTTCTTGTTTGCTTCTGTGTGTTATATCCCCTAGCACTTATTAATAAGTGACGAATTGAATTATGGAAAGAAGGGGGAGGAAGTGTCAGGTAGGGATGGGAAGATGTTTCTTTTCATGGATCTCATACAACTTTTCCTTCCCAAGCACTGCTGTGGAAAGCACTGGGGCTGCTAAGGCAGAGGCGGAATCTCGGGCGGAGGCCGCTCGGATTGAGGGAGAAGGAGCCATACTCCAGGCCAAACTGAAAGCGGAGGCTTTAGCCATAGAAACGGTGAGTGGGAAGCACCTTTAACGGGTGTTCTGAAGAAAAGGTTCCCTGGTTTGAGCCAAAGCAGAAGAGAAGGGAACCTGAATATCCTTCAAACTCATTCCCACTTTTGGTACCCTGGCTCATGCTAATGAGAGCACTGTGGAATGGCGCTCCCTGCTTATCTTTCAAGGCTCAGCTAAATTCCTATCCTCTGCATAAAACCTTTCTGGACACGCTAACCCCTAGAGATCGGCCCTCTTTTTTGCATTTCTGGGGCAGGTGTATTTGTGCTGTACCATTTAGCATTCATTCATGCCTGTTCTTTTATCTCCGTTCTGTATTTGCTTCACGTGTGTTTTTATCCATCCTTGAGGTCTGGGATGTGTCTACCTCTTCAGCAGTGCCAGCCACAAGGCAAAGCACGATAGATTACAGTGGTCATCCTTGTTGTCCCTTATGGCCTGGGGGGCTGATTGCATTTTCTCTCCTCAGGAAGCCGAGTTACTTCGAGTGCAAAAAGCCAGGGAACAGGAGCTCACCTATGCCAAGGCCCAGATGGAGCTGGAACTGAACAAGGCGGAGAAACTTGCGGAAGTAGAGGTTAAAAAATTCAAGGAGATGACAGAGGCCCTGGGCTCCGGCACCATCCGGGACCTTGCCCTGGCTGGGTCTGAACTACAGGTAAGCAGGCCGGGAGAAATGAGGGAGGAGGCTGATCCAGCTTAGGGTTGGTCAAGAACAGGGAGATCTATTGTAGAGGGAGGTCTCAGCAACACCAAGAACATTCTTCTGTCCCAGCTGCGGAAAGATATCTTCCTGAGGGTCAGAGGCTATGTGTCTTGGGTGAGGAGGGCAAAAAAATTGCCATTGATCTGGCTGGAAGAGTTTGGGGTTCTAGGAGGACTTTGGACCTCTTTGTAAGATGTTCCTAAGGTCCCTTTCAGCTTTAGTGTTCCCTGATACTTGTGTAGTAGAAAGTGAATCAGAACACGTGTATACAAAGTCCCTGCCATGTGACCCTCGGATAGTTAATTAACTCCACTTAGCCTGAGGTGCTCTTCAGGGAGGTACTGAGGAAAACACGTTGGAACACTTCAAGATCTATGTAAAGGAATTATTTCCCAGGTTCCTTCTAGCTTTAACGTTTTATCATCCTATAATGTTTGTTTCCTTCTCTATCATAGGTGAAACTGCTGCAAGGGCTTGGACTGAAATCAACCCTGATTACAGATGGTTCCACTCCCATCAATCTCTTCAGCACAGCCACGGGGCTTCTGGGCCTTGGGGCACCTGGGTTTCCTACCGAGCCAGAGAGGAAGAAAGACACAGGGAAATAGGGACTTCTCCCCCAGCTCCACTGGAGAGTTAGACTACTGTTCTCCCTGAAGTCCAAGGAGAGGGCTAGATTCCTCTGCCTTAGTTTTTCACTGAAAAATAAACCCTGTTTCATTTAAGCGTTTGTCTCTCAGCTTTTCTCATTCATGGGGATTTAAGGGGGTTTTGAAAAAGGACAAGATGCCTGTAATCCAGGAAAGGACCATAGGAATTCTTCAGACTTTCTCCTTTAACCTGGGTGGGCTACTTGAAGGTGGGCCTAGCTTACTTTTCTCCATTTGTGGGGTCAAAGAAGCAGCAAAGTATAATACAAAAACACTAGACTTGGTATCAAAAGACCTGGATTTGCGTTTGTATGATCCTGGACAAGTCCCTTTCCCCTCTGAACTGATTTCCTCCTATGTAAAAGGTGGGGATTGACCCAGTTGAGCATGGACGAGAGTGTGGCTCCTTTCCCCAGTACACTGGGTGTCCCCTCCTCACCTAAGGCAGGGTAAAAGGCAGAAAAGGAAATTTAAAAAAAGAAAGGTAGAAAAGGGTACACCACACTCAAAGACAACTAATTGAAACCAGAAGACCACCTGCTTTGGAGGGTCTCACTCCATATACCTTGATTTTTGCATTTCTAAAAAATTACTGCAGTCTGTTGCTGATGATGAAGGTGCTGGAAAAGCAGAATAATGCATGTAGCCCTGAAGGAGGGGCCAGGTCTCTGATAACTCTTTTCTTAGCCAAAGAACTAACCAGAGTATGAGATGGGGGCCTGGGAGGGACCATTTCTATTCCTCTGTAACATGTTCTTTTCACAATAAAGAAGACACCAGGAAAAACAAGCTTTGCAAACTAAATCCCACAGTTCTTTCAACACATGTTGAAAGTGGGTATTTTTAGTAGTGAGTAGGATTTTATATTTCTAATGTGTAGTACAAAAAGGCTTCACAGGTCAGAGCAATGGTGCTAAGCCAGACTTTCTGTGATGGTGGTTTCTTTCAGGTTGAAGACCTCCTCCAATTGGTTATTATTGATAAAATTTATATATTTTTAAAAATTTAAATCCATCCTTTGCTGGAGAGAAAGACATTTTAGGGGATAAAAATGAAGACGCTGGACTGGATAGTTGACAACTCTACTCCTAACCAATCCTAAAATAAAATTCTGGATCTCTTTTGTGATCCAGGGGAAGCAAATTTCTTCCCCAGGACTCCAAGTTTTGAGATAGTGAAGACAGCAGTATGTCAGACATGCTTCTGATTGCCTTCTGGGTTTAGCAGGTTGGTCCTGACTTAGTCGGGCCTCTAGCTAAAAGCCTCTGCCAGATGGGACGGGAAGAGTGCCATCTATCCTGCCCACAGATGCCTTGTGTCTATTTACCTGATACTAGTTAGGTCAGCCTGGCACCCACATAGCATTTTTGAAGCTATTTTTGTTTTTGTTTTTTAAAATGACACAATTCCAGGGGTAGCTAGGTGGCTAGAGTTGATATGCAGTGGATAGAACACAGGCCCTGGAGTCAGGAATTCTTGAATTTCAAATCCAGCCCCAGACACTTGACATTTACTAGCTGTGTGACCCTGGGTGAGTCACTTAACCCCAATTGCCTCACCACCTCCCCTCCCCCCAAAAAAGACAATTCCAGTGCCTTTCCTGGTTCGCCTTCCCTGAAGAATTCTCCATTCTAAGCCTTCTCCCCCGCCTTTCTCCTTCACAGCTTGCTTCTCCCAGCTTCGGGACACAATCACAGCTTTAGCCCACTTGTCTGGGTTTTAAGCCTAACCTTTGGTAGGTGCCTAGGGTAACTGAAGGCTAGGAGCTGCAAAGGGCTGCAGGGACCATTTAGCTCAAAGCCCTCAATTTGCAAGTGAAGAAATGGAGGCCCAGGGAGGCTCAATTAATTGTCCAAGGTCAGACAGGTGGGAGGTGGAAGAGGAGGGATTCAGAGAATTATGATTTAGAGCTGGAAGGGGCTGTGGATGCCATGTAATCCAACCCCCACCCCCCTACCCCCAGATAAGTAAAATTAGGCCCCTCTCTCAAGTAATGACAGAACCCAACTCTTCATCCAGAGTTTCTTACCTCCTGCATGCACACAAGCTGTTAATTCACACCTACCTCCAAACCTCCCAGCTCTCCCTATCCTTTCTCTTCCCCTGGCTGCAGCCAACAGTACACGATCTCTGTGCCTAACTACGTGGCTTTGAATTCACGTCGAGGCAATCCTACTCTGTTGTGTGTTACAGGCCTGACAGTCGAGATGGTTTGTTAGTGCCACCTATGGCTACAAACGCTTGAGCTAACTGCACATCCTATCTGGCCCCACCCCATTCCAGTCTTCCCATCTCCCCTCCCTTAAGAAGTACAATTATTGACATTTTCCTGATGGGGAAATAAGCAAAGAAGATAAGTGAAGTGACTTGCCCATACACACATGGCTAGGTCTCCTGACTCTGTAGTAAACAGATTTGAACCAAAAGAGCAGTCAGTGGCTCTGGAGTTAGAAGCCTTGGGTTCAAATCTCACTCTCTTCAACCCTCTGGGGCCTCACCTTCATCTGTAAAATGAGGGGGTTGAACTAGAAGGCCTCCAAGGTCCCAAAGCTAGGATTCTTTGATCAGTGAATGGCTCTACTTCCTGAGGGGGTCTTCTACTAGCACAGACCTTCTAGAGGTTCAAGGCGATGCCCCCCAGGAGCTCACAGTCCCACAGGGGAGATATAGCCACAAGGAGACAGCCAACAATATCAGAGTATTAAAAGTACCTAGAACCATGGGCAATAATTGCTAGAGTAAGAGGGAGGGTCCCAGGGGGCTGGAAGGAATCATAAAAGACTTCTCAGAGTATTTTGACAGGGAAAGAGCCTTCCACAGGTAAGGCGGAGGGGGAGGCGGTACAGGAGACAAGCATTTCACTGTTTCAGTAAAAGGAAGTTACAGGGGAAGTGAGCGTTCTTTGTTTCTAAGCTTAAGTGATTCATCCCATCCCCACCATAAGAAAACAGTTCAGGGAGTGAAGACAGGAGCCTGAGCTCTGATTGTGAAGTTTCCTCTTTTATCATCAAGGCCTCAGGGCCAGATTACACATCATGAGACACAGTACAGCAGGGAAGGATCCAGACGGCCTCCTTCCCTCCTGGGTAAAGTCCCCAGGGCAAAGACTCCTCCAATTCGAGACATATCCAGGCCAGGATGAGAGGAGTTTGGCCCCTTGTGGAGAGCCAGCCCCCACACCATCTCCCTCAAATACAGCAGTACCATGCTAACTCGCATGGATCACACTGTCTCCTGGGGCTGGAAAACAGCAGCTCTCTGGCCTGGCTCAGTGCAAGAACACACCCGTGTCTCCACACCTGCTCCCAAGGAGCTTGGCCACCCTTGAGCTATGGCCATCCCCAAGTCATGGAGCCTATGGCCTCATCTCCTGTGGCTGGGACTTCCATCATTGCCCCCACAGAGAGCCCTCATCTGATGTCTAGGTGCTACCCTCATCTCAGGGAAGTGACATCACATGGGAGTGGAAACAAAGAACAGTGACATCCTTGAAGAGGTTCTGACAGCATTGCGGGGGGGGGGGGGTAAGGGGGTAACAGCACTGTGGAGGACTTGCCTTATACTATATAAAAAGCTGACCTCACTGGGGGAGGGCACACCAGCACCATGGGTGTTAGGGTGCAGGGCATCGTGGAGAGGAATGGGACTGGAAGTTTGTTGGAAGCAGAAAAGACATCAGGACTATTCCTTCTTGGCGCGGTCAGCAGCATCCAGGGCAGCCATGTTGCGTGCAGCAGTGACCAAGTGGATGGCACTGATGAGGGACTTGAGAAGAGCAATAGGGGCAGAGATCCAGAGTCCCACTCGGAACAGACCCACTGAACCCACTGCAAGAAGACAGGAAAAAGGCCAGGACAGAGAGGGGATTGATAAAAGAGGAAGGAAAGAAGGAAGGAGTAAAGAAAATGGGATCAAAAAGTGAATTCAGTATCTAATCAAATCCAATCTGCCTCACAAAAAAAGTATCTCCCCCCAGCTCCCACTCCCCATATCTCATCCTCAGACCTTCCTCCTGGCCCCCATGTAGCATCACCTCTGGGTTCATACCTGAGGGTCCTTCTGAGAAACTGAGCAAGTAAAGCAGACAGTAGAAAAATTCATTCCCAGCACACATAATGAACAGCACTGGCTGCAAGAAGAAGGCAAAACCATGTTTCTAACTTGAACAGTGAGCTCACATAATCTTTCTCTCTCCCTCTCTGACACTCTCACACACACACTCTCTCTCTCTCTCTCTCACACTCACTCACACACACACACTCTCACTAATTCACTCACTCACTCACTCATATTTGTTCCAAAACCAGTTAAGACTCCAAAGAAAGGAAATCGATACATGGTAGCAAGGCAGGCTGTCTGGACACTGAGAATGGAGACTAGGGGTATGACCTGGATTGGGACTCACCCGTGAAGTATAGTAAAGTCGAAGGACAAGATTCCCTGTTAGGTCAATGGTTTTGTGGCTCTCACTGCCCCGGACCACTGAGCTGAAAGGGAAGTCGTGGGAACATCAAGTGTTACCTCTACTACTCAACTTCTGACCCTGCCCCACCTCCCCAAACTACCACCCACATTTCTCTGGATAACAACGGCCACTAGCCCACTACTCCCTCTTGCCTCCAAGCAAGAAAAGCCAGCTAAGTATCTCTAGGGTTTCCTCTTTCTACCAGCCTCATCACAAGTGAGCACTAGCGCCTTTCTGGAAGTAACTACTGCAGGATCAGCCAATAATGGGCCACACCCAAGACTACAATTTCTCAGCCCACAAGGAGTGATGGTTGTAACCTGTGTAGGTGCAGCCAATGGCTGGCAACATCTAGACTCATGCTGAGCTGGAAGAGTAGGGTGGCCCGAGGGTAGAGCAGAGCTAGGTTTACCAGCAGACACATGGTAGAACATCGATCAGTTAGCATGTCCAGCATCGCCCCAAACCGTGTCCCTAATTGGGGGGAAAGAAGAGAGCCAGCAGTTGAGGATGAAAATGATGGAAGGGAATGGAACAGCACCTGAAGTTTGGTTGGAGTCAGCATGCCCAGCATTGCTACAAACCCACAGATGTGCAGGAACTGAGAACTCAAAGGTGTTCATTCCTTCCTGGGCCCACAGAAGACTCTAAGTCAGAAATAGCCTGCCAACTGAGATACTGATCCAAGAGGAGAGGGTCAAGATTAGAAGTCATAATGGGTGGGTAGAAGGTATTCCATCATGTGGGAATGAAAAGAGCCCTGGATTTCAAGCCAGGTTCTAGGTTTGAAACCCAGCTCTGTTACTTATCTGTATGACCTTTGGAAAGTCACTCTTTTGAGCCTCAATGTCATATGTAAATAAGGACATTAGACTAGATAGTCTAGGTACTATCTCTCAACTATGTCCTAAACCAAGTCAAAAGTATGAGGTAAAACCAAGGTAAACACAATCAGTCATCAAAGCCAGAGGTGGAAAAATGCCCTGAACCTAAGACAAATAATACAAAATCCAAAACCTTGAAAAAGACACTGAGCTAAAGATACCTACAACCCTCCAAAAGTTATCTCATTCCTCCTCCTGGCTCCAGGAACAGCTATCTTTAAACAATGAAGCCACAGGAGGGATCCCCAGAGAAAGAAATGCCCCAAACCTACCTTGCTCTCTCAGTTCTATGTTTTACAATCTAACAACCAGGGAGCTCTTCCTGAGGTTAGTAGTAACAGACTGTTCCCTCTGGTTCTGTCCTCGGTAGACATGGTGTCACCCCATTCAAAAGCACAGCCCTTCCCAAACCAAAGTCCTGATTCTGGGGAGGGAGGAAATGGAGGCCTCTGAGGGATGGGGGAAGTGGGGAACCTGGAAAGGGGGGTAACTGCTGGACTCTTGGTCACTAGGAGAAATGAAGGCTGGGCAAGCAGTCACCTTGATTCAGGGTCCTTGCCGCATGTCCGTCGAAGGCATCCAAGAGCCCACTTAGCAAGTAGAAGGAGGAGGCTGTTAATGGACAGCTGGGCATGAAGTAGAAGGAAATGAGGGCGAAGAGGATCCGGGCATAGCCTGAGGATAAGGGAACAAAGGGTTCAGAGCCCTGGAACAAATGTGAGTAACAGAGGAAAAAAAAAAAGGCTCACTGGAAGTGGAGCCCGGTCAAACCTCGCAAAGACACGAGGGGAAACTGAGGACCGGATATGGGAACCCACTTGCCCAAGGTCACGCATCGAGTTCGGGGCTGAGCTGGCGCCAGAACCCAAGCCTGGGAGACCAAAGGAATCCCCTTCCCCGGCCAGGCTCCGCCCTCGCCCTCCCCGGGACCCGGGGTCCGTGCCCGACGGACTCACCGATGAGATTGGGCACAAACAGAAAGATGTTTTCTTCCGGCATCTCGGCGGGGCGTGGATAGCCGGCCTCTCGCAAGGGGAATGGGGAGCAGTCCCCCACCTAGCCAGCTGAGCAAGCCTGACCCCCGGCTACCGTGCTCCCGGCTGTCGCTCGGCCCCTCTCCTCCGCCCCCCGGGACGTCCCGGCGCCGCAGCTGCGCAGCCCCTCCCTCCGCCCCGGCGCATCAGCAGCTCCGGGGTCGCAGTGGACCCCGCTGCCCCAGTCCCGGGCGAGACCCAGATGTGCAAGCCCCCCCCGCCGTCCCAGGCATCGGCCGGTCCAGGTGTGTAGCCGCCGGCGCTTCGCCCGCCTTCCTCCTGCAGGGGTGCAGGTCTCCCTAGGCTGCTTGCTCGGGGCCCCGGGAAGGGTTCAAGGTCCTTTCTCTCCACCCTTCTTCCAGTCGTCACAACACCAGCTGTGCGGGGGGAAGGCCCCCCGTGTCCCGGAAATCGGCTCTTCAGCCCGTGCTGACGCAAAATTGAAGTCCAAAAAAATGGCTTCGATCCCTTTAAGAACGGCCCGCTTCCTTTTCCTTTTCTTCCCTCCGCCTCTCTCCACCGGTTTGTACCAAGTTGAGAGTGGGGAGGGGGGGTTCGCGCACAGAGAGTTAGGAACAAGCCGTAAACTCAGAACGGAAAAAGGTACCAAAAGTTAGATAAGAAGACTAGGAACTAATTTTAATTTTGTGTGAGCATATTTTCTTAGAGAGGAGTAAGAGAAGACATATTCCACCAAAACGACCCTCCAAAACCCCTACCGGACGGTGCATTTGGTTCAGTCCTGAATCATTCCTTTCCTCCAACCCCGACTCCTCCCAACCTTTTCATCCTCTTTTGGTCTCAGCTACTCTTGGGCATCGAGGTGGCAGCTAGAGGGTCAGGAAGAAGCTTAAGACTAGAGGGAGCTGACTCTAGAGATCGCCCCCTGGCGCTGGAAGGATACTATTCTTCCAATATCAAAGCTCATTACAGGGATAAATAATCCTCCCCGCCCTGGAAGCAGAATAGTTTTCCTACTGCAGATGATGCCCGAGCGGAGAAGAAAGAAAGGGATGCCGGGAAAAAAAAAAAAAAGATGACTTCAGATTTGACTTCTAGAACTCAAAGGGGCTGTCTCCTAGCAACACGCTGCGGAGCTCCCTCGGCCTGCGGGGTTCCCGGGGCAACCTCCCCGTGCCACTCTTCCCCTCCCCCTTCCATCCTCTCAGCCCTCTGCGACCGGTACCCATAGCAACAGCAACGGCGGGGCAACTAGAAAGACCTCCCCGTCTCTCCCCTCCCGGGCCATAGGCAATTTCTACCTAACATCAGGTCCGGGAAATGGGAAACTGGACCCTTAGGTTTGGGAAAAGACACTGAAGACTGGGGGAAAATGGGGACCAGAGTGAAGGGACCAAATTGAGGAAAGGGAGGGGGGACAGAGCTGACGGGAGGGGGGGTGGAAAAAAGACCCGGGATGGTCTGGATGCTCTTTGGTCGGAGAAATAAAGGACTATTTGTGTGTTAGTCTGTTGGAGAAAGGAGACCAGGAGGAGGTTTATTTAAAATAACTGATAATGGGATGGTTTCAGGCTCTGCCCCGCCCAACCCCTAAAAAAAAAAAAAGTGGGATGACTTCCCATCTTCATCCTACCTCACTTTATCTGATCCCAGGGGGATGGAGCCCAGTCCTTCAGGGCCTCAGGAGAAAAAGGGCACTCGACATTCATACAATTCCACTACACCAGCGGTGAGTGTTGTGAGAGGACTAAAAGGGAAGGGGGGGGCAGTTCTTTCCACCAAATCAATCATCTCACCCTGGTCCCCTCAACTTTCATCCCTCCTGCAAGGTTATCACCAGGTCTGAGGAGTATTTGGCTCGTGTCAGCACAGAACTTGCCAACGAGGCCCTGATAGGAGCCCAATATACATTGAGCCCTGATCTGCCCAAGGAACTGAAAAAACTGGACCAGGGAACACAGATGTCCCGACATGGTGATGCCTGCGCTAATAACAGTGCCCTGCTCTCTAGCCCCTAAGTCTACTCCCTAGGAACTGTTCTGAACCCTGGCAGCCCCTCCCTTAGATGCCACTTCCACCTAACATCACCTTTATGTACAACTTTACAAGCATTTGTGTTTCTTTACCTTAGTCTCAATCTCACTTCCCACCCCAGTGGCTAGCCATTCCAACTCCTTCTCTTTCTGGTCACAGAGAGAGGGGCACTCTTTCTAACTAGGGCCTATGTTTTCCGTGCTGCCAACCACTCGGACCAAGGGCACAGATACTCGGTGAGAGTCCCTGAGGGGAAATGTCACATCTCTGGGCACCAGGGAATTGAAAAGAGAAACAATAATATTGTTATGTAGTGCTTCTACTATTTGTTTTCCTCATCACAATCTTGTGAGGTTGAGAGTGCAAGCATTATCTTCCCCGTTTTACAGATAAGACAAAAATGCTAAGTGACTTGCTCACAGGTCTAGTGCCAGAGCCAGGCCTTGAACCCAGGTCTTCAGGCTTCAAGTTCTGTAGACTTTCTGCCACTTCCTATAGGGCAGAAGAGCCTTGTATCAAAAGGGAAGAGGGAAATGAGAATTCACCTGGGGGAAGAGATCTTGTGAAGAACTATAGGTGGGAGGGAACTACTATGTTTTCAAGAGAGAATAGCTGAGCAGCTCTCCACCAAGAAGTTCATTTTTTTTCTCCATCCTTATCCTTTCTTCTTCTCTGTAGTTCTGACAGAAACAGGACCAGAAACAAAACTCATCTCCTGCCATCCAGAGAGATGGTATGTGATAGGTTACTTGGGTCCCCTCTCTTCCTACTGGTTGGGTCCCATTGAGAGCTAGGGGAAGTGGTAGACTGCAGAAAAGGATGTGAAAGGGAGAAGATTATTGTGCCTTCCCATCTGGGAGAGGAAACTACAGGAATTCCCCTACCCTGGAATAAGAGAGATTATACTTCAGATCCCAGAAACGAACCAAGCCCCTCTTCTTTCTGGTAATGCTCCAGGTTGAAGATTTTAAAGATGACAAGGTAAAATTGCTGAAGTCAAAAGAGAAAGACCTATCCCAACACAAGCAGGTGAGAGAGAACCTGGTCTCCTTATTCTGTCCTCAGGCTAGCACCTGGGATACAGTTTTGCATCAATTTTTCACCCTTCCTAGGTAGAGACTGTGCGGCAGGAGGAAACTCTAGGTGGGACCAAGTTTTTGACTACCCGCCGGCCTGCTCGTCGTCACCCTACAGATCCAGAAGGCCTCTCTTCCCTTACCTCCAGAAAAGTGCAAGGAAATATCAAGGTACTTTGAATTGTGAGTGAAACATTTTAAGGTAGATTCAAAGGTACATTAACAAGGTAGAATTCACCCAAAGAAAGGTGACCAGGATCAGGATGGGCCTGGAAATTATTCTTATATGTAGCTCTTGAAGGAACTAAGTCTATCTAGCTTGGAAGAGAAGAGACTTGGACTTCATAGATTTGAAGTGCTATCATCTGGAAGAGGGAATAGCTGTATTCTGTATTACTGTAGAGGGAAGAAATAGACTCAATGGAAGGAAGTGACAGAGAGACAGATTCCCATTTAGGAAGGATTTTCCATCAGAACTGCCCATCAGCTGCCTCAAAAAGCTCTGGTTTGCTAGAAGTGTTGAAGCAAAGACTGGATGACCATCTCTCAAACAGGTTGTAGGTGAGATTTCTTCATTAGGGGATGTTAGGCTAAATGACTTACAAAACCCTTCAACCACTAAGATTCTTTGGGAGGGGTGTTTGTTTTTGGTTGTTTTGGGGGGGGGGGGGCGTTGCCCAGACACGCAGGATCTAGGTTTGTCGTAATAATATGGGAAGAATGAGCAAAAGGTCAGAAAAAGATGGGGAAAGATTATAGGATAGGAAAAATAAATAAGTAACTTCTCCCATCTTAAGGGATAAAGAGTACTTTCCTCAGAATGCTTTAGAAGCAGATAGTCTTCTGCCTTAGACTTTTGATCCAAGAAGCAACTGTATAGGCAAAGCAGAGGGAGCTTACACTTCCTCTCCTCTTTTTCTTCTCTCCCCTCAGAATGTGGCTCAAGGTCCCATTCTTAACAGTTTATCTGACAAATCCCAGGGTGGACTTCTGGCTATGAGCGTCACCATCCCTGAGGCCCAAAGAAGATCTCAAACAAAAGTAACATTCTTCTTCACCCCCTTCAGCCCAGCCATACCAGCAGGAAACAGACACTAATAAAGAGACGGGGGCCCCTGCCTTCCCCTTCCCCAATTCAGGCAATGCTGTGGTCTGACCATCTCTGAGGAGGGTGATGAATGGGATAGAGTGCCCCTGGTGCAAGGGAGGGAAGGGAACAGGGAATTCACCCATCTTTGAGAAGTTCCTCAGGTGTATATGATCTACAAGGTAGATTGTCTAGGTCACATGGCTTTACTATTGAACCACAGTCTATCCCTCCACAGCCAGCTTGCTGGAAAAAGGGCAAATTCTGTTTTTATAGTAGCATTCATCAAAGCTCAGCATCACCAAAAAAAAAAAAAGATCTTATGAACCAGCATCATATAACTTCATCCCCAAAGAGAATGAAAAGTGTTCGTGCACTATCCAGTATTGCACATTATCTGCTGGGTTTTTTTTTTTTATCTAGTATTATTGATTATCTGCTATTTTGAATTATCTGTTCCCTTGAATTCCCTAGTTTGGGATCATCTTTCCCAGAGTTTCCCTCCATTATTAACATTGTCAGTTGCGGGTTGGCTATAGAACTTTGAGCTCTAGGGATAAGAGGAGTTCCTGGCTCTCCTTACGCCATTATGGTGGAATGGAATGAATACCAACTACACAAGGAATCAGGGGACCTTATTTCTAGTCCCAGCTCTGCTCTAAATCAGTGTGTGGCTTTGTAAAAGTCACTTTCCTTTTCCAGGCCTCTTTTTTCTCAGCTGTACAATATGGTGGTGAGATTGGACGAGCTAGAAGTTCCCTTTTCATTCTCCCAGCCCCATTTCTCTCTGAAGGGCTGTTGTTGTTAGATCTTTAGTTAAGAGTTCAAAGGGTATTCTCTCCAAACCTCAATTGAACCTAGTCAGCTTCCGTAAGAGTGGGTCTTGTTTTTGCATTCCCCCAACAAACACTGCTCCTCCCTCTTCCCACTTATAAGCTGCCCCCACCATAACACTGGGCCCAGTTACAAATGGTGATTTTCTGTTTATTGCTTGAAAACAAAAATCCAGAAGCCAGAAGGGGTAAAGGGTAGAATTGGGAGAACCTGGAGGGAGGGAGAGACTGCAGGAGATAGGGGGTCATTTCCCTAGCCCTCCTACTCTTACTCTGCCTAGCATAAGGACTAGGGCTATTGGGCTAAAAGGGACTGGTTGGAACTCTTGGCCTGAGGGAGCAGTGGGTGAGGGTAGAGCAAAAGGGAAGGCCAAGAATGGACTGTGCTGGTGGGACAGGAATTTGTGTGGCCAGGGAACTGGCAAGCAATAAGAGCAACCAGAGGGCAGGAAAAATGGTGTCAAGCCCTCTGATATCGACCCCTGGGGCCCATTACCTGGTGGTAGCCACAGGGGCGAGTAGGTCAGGACCTGGACTAAGGAATATTACCCTTCTCCCCTTACGATTGACCCCAGTACTGAGCAACCAAGAGACAGCCCTGTATTTTAGGGCTGGGGAGCCCAATAATGGGTATAGAAGGCAAAAGAAAGGACCCCCTGCATTTGGCAACAGAGAAAAAGGATGACTTGGGAGGCAGGATGCTGGCTTATTTACCAGAGGATCTCCAGGGTGTTTATTGTCCTTAATGGGGTCTTAGGGTATTTACAAGGAGGGGAAGGGAGAAGTATGAGGTGGCAAGAGCTAGAAGTGGAGGGTCCAGTTCCCTTTACTTCCTCCCTCCCCCTTCCCAGATTGGTCTGGGGGGGGCATCAGGAAGGGACACCCAAAGGTCCTGCTCCCTCCATTGGTGCTTAGATGGAGACTTCATACTCTCTTGTGTCCTGGGGGCAGAGATAACAGTGTCATCCGTCAGCTTGTTGGGGGTGGGAGGCAGGGTAAGGAGGGTGATAGTCACCATCTGGTGGCCCCAGGAGGTTCTTAAGGGTTAAGGACTTGGGTGTTCTGAGGAGAGTCAGGACAAAGGGTTGAGGATTTTTGATGGCTGCGGAGCCACTGAATTAATGAAGAAAGGAGCTGGGAGTCTCTGAGAGGGGAAAGGAGAGATGGGAAAGGTTAGGCAAGAAGCCTACAGGGAACTTTTCAAGACAGGCTCTCGAGTGGGGTTGGGACTGGGATTTATGGGGCTCGTGAGGTCAGAACTCAGGTCATAAACCCCAGGAAGCAGGGCTGGACGAAGGTTGCTACTCACCCCAGCTTCATAAAGTGGATTGCTAAAATCAGACTCCACAGTGATAGGGCTGTAGGAGTGAGATCCAGAAAAGCCAAACAGAGATTTTCCTTGTAGCCTGGGAGAGAAAAGCCAAGAAAACATGGGTTCTATTTGCCATCTTTATCATTCTCCATAATTCATCCCTCCCCATCATGTCCCAAAACACCCAGCAACCACCCACTACTACCCCCAAGGTTCCCCAAGGCTACAGCTTGCACAGCCTAGATGGAGCCCAGAACCAACCAATGAGCTGATCTCTTCAGGACAGGTTGAGGGTGACCCAGTCAGAACTTGGAACCCTGGGCTACTTGACCTCCATTGGCATCCATCTGTGAACAGCCCAGGCCCACCCACTACTCCAAAATCAGTGTGCTCACTTAGTGTAGTAGAGATAAACACCCCCAATGAGTAAGATGACAAGGCCCAGGGGCAGCAGGATGGCCAGGGCTAGATTTCCACCTTCCATTTGCCGAGAAGGATCTGTGGTCTGGGTCACTGCAGGGAGGAAAGGACAGTGAACTTTGGTATTCTGCTTCCTAGCCTTGGGCTCTCTCTTTCAAGGGAACAAGGGCCTTTGCCCTGTAGCCTTCAGTTCCCTCAAGGACCCCAAGTGGCCTGTGCCCCCCAGCCCCTGACTCTTCCCTCAGAGAGCCTGTTCCCCTCCCCAAACCCAGGCATCCTGCCCCAACCAGGCCCTGGCTCTCCCCCTCATTCCTCACTGACCTTCCAGTTTTCGGTCGTCCAGTAGCTCCTCATAGGCCACTGCAGGGAGAGGAGGGGGGAGTGGGGTCTGAGCCAGTGAGGGGGGAGGGCAGGAGGCCAGGCCAGGCAGGAGAACCTTCTCTCTTTTCACTCTGTTCAATCTACCCAAATCCTAAGTCTGTACTTCTCTTCCCCAAAGCTCTATTCCTTCATTTTTCAGAACTCCTGAAGTGGCCCTTCTCCATAGTTCTCTTGTCCTATTTCACTCCTTATAATTCCTAAGGATCAATAACCCTGCCTCCCCAAGCCCCATCTCCTCCACCAGGGACCTCTGACTTCCAGTTCTTTGTTCCTACTTCCTTTCCAGAATCTAGGAGCTGACACAGGTTGAGCCCTCCTCCTGGCCCTTGGAAGCCCTGTAAAACCCTTCCCTTTCTCCTTCCAAGTACCTTTGCAGAGTGGGGGCTGGCTGGTCCACTGAGAGGGGTGTCCCGGGAGGCAGGTGATGGTGACCTCGCCAATAAGTTCAAATCCCTCATAGCAAAAGAATCGGAGAGACTCCCCAGCCTGGTAGTGATGCTTGTACAGGGTCTGGTAGCCATTCTCTGGGACGCCTGGGTTCAGGCATGGCTCATACTTCACTGGAGGAGGCAGAAGCCAGGGCCTAGTTACTTACTGCCCATTCTCATTACTTTCTCTGCACAATTTGCCTTTCATCCCAGGCTTTGGGACATTGTCTTTCCCTTCTCAGTGTCACCCCTACCCTCCCACCCTTGCAAATCTCTCTACCCACAACCAGGGCTGGGGACTCACGGACACACTTGGGGACACGGTCGCTCCACTTGGGGGTGCCTGTGTCCCGGTTGTAGCAAGTGAGGACAGCTGCCCCCTCTAGACTGTAGCCAGGCAGACATCGATACTGAATGTGGGAGCCAATGGGGAAGCCCGCATCAGAAGCTGTCCTGTGCCCATTACTGATTTCTCCAGGGTCTGCACAGGTCATGACTAGATGACCAAGAGGAGAGAACGCATGTTAGGGGAAGCGAAGAAATGAGGGACATGGAGGGATTCTTCTTCCATTAACAAGCACCCCTGAACACCCTCTACCTTGCACTGAGCACTAGCTTAAACTTGGGTCAAGTCAAGTGTCAAGGTGCATGTCTAGACTAGACTCCTACCATGGTTTTCTGATCAGCTTCAGAGATCAGGGGAGCCTAGGTGGTAGAAGTTCACATTTGTATAGCATGTTACAGGTAGCAAAATGCTTGGCTCAGAACACCTGATTAGGTTAGGTGGCGTAGAAAAAAGTACCAGCCTAGAATGGGGAGCCCTGGTTTGGTTCTAACAACTCGACTATGGATCCTGGAGGTTGGAGAGCCAAGAATCCCTTGGCTCAGGCCCCTGCCCCTGGACATATGAATAAATGAGGCCCAGAGAGTTGAGGTGATTTGCTCAAAGTTACTATGTCCTCTTGCCAAATGAGGGGATTGGATTAGAGTTCATATTAATCATTAGGCAATCTTTCCAATTCTGACAATCTTTAATCTATTTCAAAATAGCCATTGCCAGGGGCAGCTAGGTGGCACAGTGGATAGAGCGCCAACCTTGGAGTCAGGAGGACCTGAGTTCAGATCCAGCCTCAGACACATACTAGTTGTGTGACCCTGGGCAAGTCACTTACCCTTGATTGCCTCACCAAAAAAAAAAAAAAAAAATAGACATTGCCCAGGCTAGAGGGGAGCTGTGGGCAGGGCCTGAGGGAGGGGCTTTCGCTTTCCCTTTCTCCCCTCTCCCCATTCCCCTGCCCAAGCCTGGAAGAGTAGGCTAGAGAAAGGCTTGAGGGGGTGGAGCCTGGAGATCTGGAGAGGATAGGGATGGAGTTCACTCTTTGGTTAGAGTGGGGTGGAGCCTAGGGAAGGAGAGGGATTAGGGCTCACTTTTCTGGCAGGCTGGGGGCGCAGCACTCCAAGACAGGTCCCACTGACACGTGAGGATGTCAGAGCCGAGCAGCTCGTAGCCTGGCTCACATTGATAAGTGAGCACTGTCCCCCGGATCAAGTCTCCATGGGATGCTGTCCTCCAGCCCCACTCTGGAGGGGGTAATTCTGGGCATGTGTCATTCCGAGGAACCTCTAGGGAGGGGTGA